TAAAATTCTATGAAAAACAAAAATGTATACAAGTAAAAGGCAACACTGCTGCAGAAAACTGTTAATATGTTGACTTGGGTAAAAGAAACATTTCATTTCAAGTTAATTTTATTAGTGAGTGCACCCTCAGGGCCACTGCTTATTTCTAATGCAATGGCTGCACATGAGAGCTACACATCTTTAAACTGGATCCATTAAAAAAGTGTTACAACATTTTTATCTTCAGTTATTCGGTGGATGTCTGTTCTCTTATAGTTGGTTAAATTTATAGGTTTATATAGCTTCTCTCATTTATAAAAAGAAATGAAAAACAGATGCAGTATTGCAGATGACCAGCGCTTTGTCAAACCCCACAAGAGTAAATTTGCTTTTTTTCCTTCCAATGAAGTACTAATTTTAAGAATCATCAAATTTGAAAAGGTTTTGAGTCTTTGCCTTATTGACGTAATATTTATTTTCCTTTCCATGAGACACGTGGACAATCCTGTGCTAGCGACGGTAGCTGAATGGGTAGTTACGTCATAAAATAACAAGCTAGCAATTAGCACCATGTTCACTCACTCCAGTTGAGTGAATCGATGTGAGTAAATGTAATTTGAATAGAAAATAGGAATACGAGATTAATTATGTAGAATTTCAAAAATACCAGATGACCAATTTTACCGAAACAAAGGCCAACGGTGGAGGTTTACACAGGAACTCAGAGCGAGAAACGGAGTAGTTTCTTCTTTTAACCAAGAGTGCTAGCAACAAGTTTAAGATCTGATGTTTGATAACTCTAAATACAGAATCTGATCACAATCTACAGACGTTATATCCCTGGTACTGCTGACACATCTGCAAACCCGCAGGTATCAACAGTGTGAGTGCGTCACTGCGTATTATCAGACATTGTTTGCAGCTGTGGTTTTTCTCTGCATTGGTGTTAAAGGGGAAGAACATAACTTGTGCACTAAAATGACTAACATGTTTAGTGTTTGCACAATCCTTTTCAGGCTGTGTCCATGGATTTTTCCCCTTTGTAAATACAAATTTATAGCGTTTTTAAAAAGCAGTTGAACCTGACTCATGTCCTATTCCAACATCATGACCACTTTTGCGTGAACTGAAGCTCCACATCCTGGCTTAGCTTACAGAGTTAGTCAAGCTCTGCTCTAAATTACAGTTTAGTAATGGTGAAGGGACCTACAGTGTATACCTGGATCATATGGGATTGTAGACAAACAGCCATTAACCCACAGTCCAATTAACCACATGTTCATCATCCCGTGTCAAACACAGGATGTGCGTGAAAGTCGTTTGGCAGGAAAAACGAAGTGGTTTTCACTTAAAGGACATCCCACAGCAGAGCCTGAACGCTGCGTCTGCAGGCATACGCCACGAGCTACTGTTGGTGTCTGAGGTGAGACAGCAGAGAGGCAAATGTCTGTGACGATGGGTGACAACAAAGAAGGATCAAAGTATCCGCAAGAAGAACGGCTTCATCAGGGGCCCGTTCTTCGTACCTCGCTAAGTAGGTTAGCTGGATTTGATTGTTGACGATTTCGCGTGATCTTGGATCGTTCGGTTCTCCGAAGCTCATCTGGGACTTGCTGTCATAGCAACAGAGCCGTAAGAGTAAACCTGCTCGGGAGCAGGTTCACTTTATGTAAACAGGATTAGATCGCGGCCACGCAGATATGTCCGCTTCATTTATACGAAAGCAACAGCGATATTCCACCACTGTTTCACCATAAATAAATAACATCAATGTAACTAAAGATAATGCAGCACCTGATCCTTTTATTGATGTCACACAGATACATGCAGGTCATTTCCTAAAGAAGGGAAATGAACTATTAACATTCTATTACATGTATGTGATTATTACAGATGTAATTCATATTTCAGAGTAGTAATTGTAAATTACTTCGTGTAATCAAGATGAGAGACCACGGCTATAAAAGCGAAGGTGGATTTGGGAAGCCTGTCGCAGCCATGTCCTGTCCGTATACGCGACCAACCCATTGCGGAAGGTGCAAGATTGATAAGGAGAGTCCTCAGAATTCAGTGTATATTGCGGGACAGACAGGATCCTTTAGCTCAGCGCGACAGTGTGCTCATAGAGAGATATCGATTTTCCCGTGAGGGTATTATTCACTTAACCAACTTGTTGACGAGGGGGTGCAGGACCACCACCTGTCTTTTTTTCCTCTGCCCTTTTCTTGGTTGCTGTTATGAACAAACAAACAGATTATTTCAGGGTCTCTTTCCAAGAGACTAAAAGCAACATAAGTGATAAATATTACCATTCTGTAGAATATTCTTATATTTCACTTTTACTTGTTCCCATGTTCTAGTGGGTCCTGTTGTGGCTCTAATGTGAAAGAGGATATAATGTAATATAATAAATCTACCCTACCACCTACTGGTGTTGGCCAGAGGGCCGATGGCGCGATATGGCAGCCTGGCTTCTGTCAGTCTGCCCCAGGGCAGCTGTGGCTACACCTGTAGCTGCCTCCACCAGTGTGTGAATGTGAGAGTGAATGAATAGTGGCATTGTAAAGCGCTATATAAATCAAATCCATTATTATTATTATTATTATTATTAAATTACTTACGAGTTTAATTTGTCAGCAACTTCCTGCCAGCCCTCGCTCCTTGCTTTTGCAGCCTTTGCAGTGTTCCCTTGCGTTTTAATTAAACTCTGAAACTCCTGAAATCCCTCAATCAAGAGTTCTTGCTCTGCTGCCGAAAAACATCGAGCGCGCTCCTTCGACATTTTCGCCGACCAATCAGAGGGTTGCCGATCAATGTTTCTACTATCGATGCGTAGCCCCTTTTACGACACCCAGTGATCTCACATTACTTCATCCAGCTGTACTGATCGTCAACAACAGGTGTGTTCGGAGAACCGGAATAGCGAGCTCACGGTTAGCGCGATGATTTGATCTTGGATGTAGTAAGCAAGGTACGAAGAACGGACCCCTGGTCTACGGGGTGGTTTGTTCACAGAAGAAAGCCAAAGTAATTTGGAGATAAATATTCATTTTGGTGCCACGTAACAGGATTCGTCGAAAGACCTTTTTCTGCTTCTCTTTACAGACTTCTTTGTGGTCGCCCACGAGTCAGTGAAGGAGGACATCTTTTCTGCCAGAGTCAGTGAAACCTTCTCTGAACTTAAACTCTCATATGATGTGAGAATGTAGGCAAAGGGTCACTTTAAGGTCTCCAGCCTAACACTAGCTGCCATAACCAGCTGTTCAGAAAACAATGCGTTACATTGGTTTGCATTTTCCAGTCATTTCTATTCTGATTTCATTTTGCTCATGTTAAACTCGTTTCAGGTCACGGGCCACGTCACTGGCACACGGACACTTCCAGGACCAAAACCATTCTGAAACTCTCAGATTCATTTCAAATCATCTAAACTGTTTAGATGATTTATTTAACGTTTTCTATAACTCCAGTGATCAGCTACCTCTCCAGGACATGAACCTGCTGCAGATTCTAATAATGTATACTTTATTCTTCCCTGTAGGGAAATTAGTCCTCCGCATTGAACCCATTCACTCGGTGAAGCAGTGGGCAGCCAGCGCCCGGGGAGCAGTGTGTAGGAACGGTACCTTGCTCAGTGGATTCGAACCCCCGAGTCACGGGACGAACACTACCTACTGAGCTATCCCTGCCCTCTGCTTGGAGATGCGTCTAACAGACGTCAGTCAACAGTAATATTGAAGTGCATCAGACCCCAGGATTAGAGACTCCAGAGGCCATATGATTTCCATAACGCTGCTGGGAAGCACTGACGACTAACTGGTTAGCGCAACTAAACACCCTGCAGTCTTAGACTGTATTTGGGATATTCTCAAGGCTCAGTCTTATTTTAATATTTTATGGTAGTGTGCATAACTTGATATTCCAAACAAGCCATTCAAAAGCAAATGATGTGTGACTCATGCCCAGCGTGATGCAGCTTCCTTCAGACGTACACACACTGCTTTGTTTTTATTGAAGCAGAGCAGGGAATCCGTTCTGGGATGCTTCTGTGTATCTGATGGAACAAATGCTGTCCAGCATGACCTGGACTGGTCTCAATACTGGATGCTGTTCCTCCCTGATGAGTGCTAAATTACAGTAATAAAAAACTATAAATAAAATAAAGCAAATAGGTTAGCTGTGGCCTTCAGTCACTACCCAGCTGACAGCGCTGTCCACCCCATCATCATATCATTTGAAACAATGGTATTCCATCGTCCCTGTAGAGACCCGGAGAATCAGTGCAGGAAAGCACTGGAGAGTTTTTGGCACATGGCGGTGGCCCAACACCTCACTAAGACACATCAGTCAATATGTAAATAGATAGAACAACAAAACAGCAAAACCAGAATAAATGATTATTAAAAAGTGCGATTAAAACCAGAATGTGTTCTTTTTAAAATGCTGTGAAGCACAGCACGTATCAGTGATCAATAAAGCCATCAGTTACAGCACGCAAGAGGCACAAGCAGTCGTTAAGACACTAACACGGAAATACAAACCACAAACGAAGCCTCTTTCTAATCTGTCTTAGCCCACTAGACTTCGTTCTGTGGAACTGTGGTGGCCTACTCTTTTCCGCTCAGCATATCACTGAATGCGTGAAGGTCACACGTCACGCCACAGCTTCACTGGACAGCAAATAAGATGCCAGCGCAGAGGCCAGCGGGTTTTCCGCTTAGTCGAAAAAGGAAATTTTTCTAATTGTGGAAACTTTCTTGGTTGTGTGGTTAACCAACAAACGGATGCTGCTCTTCCTTTCCATCCTAAACGACGCTACATTGAACTGAATTAAGTTCAAAATACTTTAGATGAAGACGAAATCTGATCAAATACATTATTTTATGTGGCAACATGTCGTTTTAACACACAATAAACAATAGTGACAAATCTTAAGAAACTTTTCACGACACTTGTTGAGAACAGTTATGAATGAAACAACGGCGCTCTGACACGGACAGTGAAATGAATGTTTTACTCACCAAATGGTTCTTTGTACGCGTTCAAACTGCTCATGTTTGAGGCTGGGATGTCTCCCATGCAGGGAAATGTAAAAGGAGCGGACAGAAACTGTCTCCACGCAGTAAAAACACGCAGTTATCCTCTGCCCCGACCTCAGAGAAAGCTCCAATGCCACCCCAGCGGCGGCGACTCAAACAAATGAAACACCTCTGTGATGAAAAGGTGCGAGGATTAATGCTGCCTTCAAGGCCCACCCGTAATTTCCAGCCGAAGGCGGTTCATCTATGACGACAGAAGAATACGTCCTTGCTAGAAATATATGATGAAATATTCATGTTTTTTAATATCTAAAATAAAATCAAAGCCCTCTGAAAAAGGAAAAGAAGCGAACACACAGACGAGCAAACTTCTCTCCAGATATGCTCAAAGCGCTTCTTCACGCCGCCTTCCGTCTCTTTATTTTGGGACGCTAGCGGACCAACTCTGTTTGACGCGGTGCTTTTCAGGTAAAAGAAAAAAGCTGAAGGGGTAATCAGCACAGTAGGTGTCCCATTCGATCCGGTCGTATTGCTTTTGCTTGTAATAGAAATATCGTCATGTGAAAAGGAGAGTTTTTACGCCAGTCTTGTAGAAGCACCTTCAGCAGCAATAAATTGAAATAACTGGTTTCACTATAATTAGTCAGGCTCTGTAATGCTGCTTCAGCTCCACGAGGTGCACAAGCAAGTAAAACTGGGAAAGTACAGCTTTGAAAAGCACCCAAACGTGCCTGGTGTTACAGGCTCTCTGGATCTTCAGTGCCTCTGTGCTGTCTTTCAGCTCTGTCCAGCCACTGGTAGGATTTCTGGATATTTGCCTCTTCTTTTTCTGTCTGTCCAAATCTACTAGTTGGGAGCTTCCGTCTGTCTGCAGGTTAAAACTCTGTTGTGCAAAGAATAAGTTATATTAGAGCATACCACATTCGACCCTCTTCTGCCCGGGAACCATAACCATAGCCTCTGGGCCCCTTTCCTCCCATTGTAAACACATGTAAAAAACCTCGGTGTCTACATTGATGGTTCTTTTAAAGTGAATAAGCAGGTGAGTGCAGCAGTTCAGTCCTGCTTCTTTCAGTTAAGACAGCTGACCAAGGTAAAGCCATCCCTCCTAAAGTCTTTGAGCGTGTTATTCACCTTTTCCTTACTTGCAGATGAGACTACTGCAATTCATTGTATTATGGTCTAGATCAGGCCTCCATCCATCGTCTTCACATGGTCCAAAATGCAGCTGCTCGCCTGCTAACTGGTACCAAACAGAGAGAGCTTATAACCCCAGTTTTGGCTTCTCTACACTGGCTTCCTGTCTCCTACAGGATCCAATTTCAACTTTGACTTTTTGTTTTTAAGTCTCTTAACGCCCGAGCCCCTCCTTACCTGTCTGAGCCCCTCTCTGCCTATGCTCCAGGACAAACCACCAGGTCCAGCTCAAAACCACGGACTGATCTCAAATCTCGTGGTGATAGATCCTTCTCTGTGGCAGGTCCCAGAGTCTCAAATAGTCTCCCCTAAATGTTAGATCTGCACAACACTTGATCAATTTAAATCTTTACTAAAGACACATTTCTATGCCCTGGCTTTTAACACACTATGACCCAGGCATTCTGGTCTTATTTGAAATAGTTTTAGTTATTGTTTTAATTCTTTTATTGTCCTATTATTGTTTTTTATTCTTATTAATGTATTACATTGTTGCTTTTTAATGCCATTTTTATATTGTTAAGCACTTTGTGCAGCATCGGCTGTTTGAAATGTGCTATAGAAATAAACTTGACCTTGTCTCGTAGGTGCTGATTTCTATTCCTAATGCTTCACACTAGGCTGTGAAACCAAGCTACAAGCCTCTACCTGATGAAGCCAACACAACCGCAACCCAACTGTTTCTTAAACATGGTAGTGTCATGAAATTCAAAGGATTATCTATTTTTTAAAATCAAAATAGCATATCTTCTTAGTTTAAATATTAGATATGGTTTCAATGTCCTAAAATTTCATACTATTTACTTGATGACTTAAAAAGATGTAAGGGCTCAAAAAGGGCTGTATTGGAAACAATATGCATAATAAAAAGAGAAAATCAACTTTACACATTGATTTGTAATTAATCAATTTGTTCAGGTACCTCTGAAAGGGGATGGCACAGTAGCATATTTTACGTGGTTTTGTTAAATATACAGTTATTGAACAGAAATGAGCCAAATCTCAGGGGATTGGGTGTTTTTCACACTTTCAGAGTTTTGGTCCTAAGACTAAATTCTATCCTGTGACTTCCATATTCCATCTGGACTGTAGGATATACTGATAAATCACAGATTTCTCTTTGTTTGGCTGGATCCAGTGGATCTGTCATTCCCTCTGTGGTTACTGCCAACCCCACAGCTTGATGCTGCCACCACCATGCTCCACCTGTGTCATAGTGCAATGCCTATTTTCTTTTCATGATACCTGTCTTCGTGCGTTTTCTTTAATTGTTCATTTGAAATGTAAAACAACAAAAAGTGCAACGCAGTGAGAAAGACACCAGTGACCCCTGCAGGAGTGTTCAGGAAAAACATGCTAGACGGTCTTAGACAGTCTTCCCCTTTGATTTGGTTTTAGTTAAATTCGTTCACATTTTTTTAGTTTGTGCTTTTTGGTTTTTTTCACACAAAGAGGAAATAACATAACTGTTCATTTGTATATCACACACACACACATATACACACACACACATATATATATATATATATATATATATATATATATATATATATATATACATATATATAGGTGCGGTGACTCCCAAGCTAGGCGAGTGGCTCCAGCAGATCCCAGGAACAACATCGGAGATCTCTGTCCAGAAGAGCGCAGTCCTGGAACAGCTAAGATACTGCGCAGGACCCTCAAGCTCCCAGGCCTCTGGTAGAGGACCCGAGCTTGAAGGATAAACCGCCCGCAGGGGCGTGCTGGGTGTTATACATATATATATATACACACACACACACACACACACACCACACACACATATATTATATCATACATATATATATATATATACACACATATATATATATATACATACACATACATATATATATACATACATATATATATATATATATATATATATATATATATAATATATATATATATATATATATATATATATGTGTGTATATATATTTAAATTTTAAAAAAAAATACTGTCCATCATATGTATACAGTGCTGCAGAAACTGAGCACCTCACGCCCCTTTCTTCTCCCTCATCTGAGTTGGAGATGCATTTGTACATCTGTACGGTGACAATAAAGCTATCTATTGGCACTGAATACATTTGCACTAAAATATGAAGAATAAACATGAATATTTAGAGGAAGTGATGGTTGTCGGTAACATGGCAGCGTATGTTCAAGACTGTGACCAAAGGAAAGCCGTGTTTACAAAGAGGCCGCGGAACCCGGTGACTCCGGTCAACAGGTTTCGCAGTCTGCTTGAACGCATCAAAACCTGATTTCGTCATCACGCACAGTCACGTAACCCATTCGTCCAATCAGGTGAGAAGCTAAGAGAAGCTCAGGAAAGAAGCCGATGATATGGCAGCTTTGAGAGCGCCCAAGTAGAACTTGCTTCGTGTTATCACAACACTTTGAGTGGATATCAGGGCCGGTGCTCGACATGATTTACTTAATACTCGTTTCCGCGGTTTTCGGTGCAGTCGTTACGCTGATAGTACAGTTCTGCTAATAACCGGAGAAGCCCTGAGCCCGTAGGCAGGACAGTGCAGTAGTCAAAGTAGTGCCCGGTAACGCGCTGAAGGATTACTTAATAGCCATCATGCCGAAGCAGGCAGCAGCAGGACAGCACACATGTACCGCATCTAAGCAGCCAGAGGCCGCCTCTACGCGGCAGCAGGAGGCAGCCGTCACCGGCGGCGGCCCGAAACAACAGCCGCCACCGCCTTCCCAAAGCGAGCCCTCGATGCAGGAAAACCGAAACGTGCCATTTCCTAAACGCTATCTTTCTGTTCCTATTCGGGAGCTCAGAGACACTCCCGTCGTCAGACACTGGCTCACCAAAAAGATTAAGGTGGAGTTGAGGAGCTGCTGCAGACCAAGACAGCTGGTCGGCTCCTGGAGGACTCAGTCGAAAGATTTCTCTCTCGGGAATCGCTGCCGTTTTTAAGACCGCCAAACTCATGAAGCCGCGCAATCTGAACGAGACGGATGCCCGAAGAGCTCAACTTCGAGGTGGACATCGAGTACAATGGCGGTTCCACCTCGCCATCGACGTCGAGCTGGTGTTCGAAAGTCTGCGTACCTGTTCGTCAAGATGAGGCGCGTGGTGGGCAGGCTGAGGCTGCAGTTCACGCGCGTGCCCTTCTCCCACTGGTCCTTCTCCTTCCTCGAGGATCCACTGGTGGATTTTGAGGTGAAGTCCCAGTTTGAAGGGAGGCCACTGCCTCAGCTCACCTCCATCATAGTCAACCAGCTGAAACGGGTCATCAAGAAGAAACACACCTTACCCAACTACAAAATCAGGTACGGTCCAGACCCAGCGGAGTAAAGTGTGCTGAGCATGTAAGCCATGAAATGTTAAAGATGACGACCAAACTAAGAAATGAAACACCTGGGAAGAGCCCCCAGACCCCAAACTCCCACAACCAGACAACAACAAAGAGAATGACCAAAAACACAAAGGGCTACGCAAAGACTCTGTTATAGAGAGTGGTCACAAAACACACAAATCACCCACTGAGACACAATATCATGACTTGAAAGATATAAAGTAATCAGGGAAACTCTCAAAATGACAGTAAACATGCAGGTGGTCAGAGTCGTATGCGTGCTGTGGGTGACTGCACACTGGGCAGCAAGTCTAACAATCCGTCCGTGGCTCAGTGTTTACGGCCGGTAGCTTAAGAATGAAGAATGTCTTTGCTGGCAGACCTTTCAGACTCTGGAAGAGTGTTAACTTTGTGTAGCATTCATTATTTTCTGAGCTCTGCTCATGCTTTGAATGGTACTTTCTTTCCAGTTCTTCTTTTAAGCAGTGAGAAAGTTTCAGCTCTGTTCAAGAGAGGAACTGTTCCCCTTTTTCTTTCTTACGTGTAGCAAGTCAAGTTTTATATGCACTTTTCAAGAAGAAAGGTTACAAAGTGTTTTAGATCCAAAAGTAGATAGAAAATAAAGCTTAATCAAAGCAAGCTTGCACAGGTGGGTCCCAAGCTTCTCTTTAAAGGTATCAGTTAGGCTGCCACAAACCAGTATTTTGATAGTCGACTAGAGCTGGGCGATATGAGATTTTTTCATATCACGATATGTTTTTTTCATTTCAGGCGATAACGATATCTATCACGATATCAGCCAAATAACTATATTTGTAAGATTTAAATGTGCCGTT